GCTCCGGGCGCTGCTGCTGGGCCTCTCCGCCCCGCCGCGGCTGCAGGCGGAGAAGCTGGGTGAGTCCCCGGGGGGGCTGGCCGAGGGCCCTACACACAGGCTCAGGTACCCCGCGCCGGGCAGGGGGGAAGGGCTCTCCCAGCCACACACGCCTCAGGTTCTTGGCCCGGGAGAACTCGCGTTTGGTTCCTGACGCTGACTGCTGTGGCCAGATGCTTTGTGGGGGCGGAAAGCGGGGTCGTCTGAGGTTTTTCTTCGGCGCCCTCTCCTTTCCCCAGCGGCGTCCCCTTTGCTCCTTGGCTCGCTAAGCCACGTGTGCCCGGCGGGGGAGGGAGGGAGGTTATAAGGCAGCAGGCGCTGTGTAAGCCCCGCTCAGCGGGACGCATCTTGGTGAAAGAATGGCGAAAACTCCCAAACTGCACTCACCGGTGGGTGGGGCCCTAGGAGAGGTTTGCCAGAGCAAAAGGCAACATTGAACTCAACAAGGCTGTGAAAATTGGGTTGCTAATGCTGCCCTTTGGCCATTTTGCGAGAGGGGATTTCCTCCTGGGAGTCTGATCCTCCTTACTCCATCAATTTGCTTTATCTCTGGCAGCTGGGAAACTTAACCCCGCCAATCTAACCATGAATTATGGTTTCTTAGCTGGTCTCAGGGCTGTATATAGTTTGACCTGGTTAATCCAGGCCTGGTTTATCCGTGTGTCTGAGTATCCACAGGATTAAAGTGGTAACCAATCTGACAGTAACTGCCGATAATTGGTTAATCTTTGGCTAATTAGCCCTATTCCAAAGCTAAATAAACAGGAAGAGAGACCACTAGTTGTAGGTAATATGCAGAGTTAATTTGGCAGAGGTGAACTGTTTTGCCTGACTTTTATCTTACATAATGATAGAGGATATATATTATAAAGTGCAGGTTGGAATATCGTAAAGGTACTTGTTGCAGTGACCATTTTTGTAAAGAAAACAGTCTCAGTGCTATTAATGTATATGCTCTATGTGGATAACCTTGGTGCAGTTTTCTACTGCTTTGAATACAGATGGATCCAGTTATGTATTAGTTTATTAAACAGAACTGCCTTCACTGTTGCTGCAACAAGTTCTGTAGAACCCCCAAGAGACTGTGCAAGTACCCCTGGAGGATTACAACGGTCTTATTTCCTGTACTATCAAGAGTTGTGCTCGTATTCAAAACTTGCAATGTTATATTGCCATTGGATGAGAGTACAATGACAGGAATAACCATCCATCTATCCAAGGAAAACTCATTAACAGGTAGCAGTGAAATAATATTGGCGTTTATTATCACTATTAAAATGCAGCCATAGCACCTAATTAAGATAGGGGAAGTATATGCCTCAAGTAGTGCTATTATTTCAGTCTAGCTACAAACTCAAAAAGATATAGTGTATTGGTTTACATTGTTACAGTTCGCATCTCAACAGTAATGCTAAGAATTTTTTGTTTTTAACCTATTTGTAGAAAGACCATGTGTAGAAAATTCATTATCCCTGGTTCAGAAAACATGTGAAAGGTGAACTGCGGTGGGCTGGAACAGCTCCCCACAAGCCACAGGCAGGGAACTGCTCTAATCCTATGGGGGCCACCACAGGCAGGAGCTGCTCCAAATGAGCTGAAGCAGCTTCTCTGTGGCAGGGGTCCCCCTTAATTGTTTAACCAGTTAAACAAGATTTTACATACCTATTCTGAATGTGTATATCTGATGTGCATTAGGCATTCATTAGCCTTTTGAAGAGAAACTTTTGTATCAGTCTACTGGCCTCTAAGTCTCACGTGTTGTATCTTTTTTTTATTTTCTTTTAGTATGTCTAACTCCATTTATATAATAATTTCCCTCGTGGAGCTCCTGTATCCCATCCCTTTGGCATACTCCACAGTTGTGACACTCACACATGTGTTATGGTGTAGTGTAGGAAACACTTTTTTATAGTTTTTTGTAAAATAATACTGTTTCAGAGGTGGTGGTGTTGTCATCCACAGTCCAAGGGAGGCAGTATTTTAGCAATAACAATTTTGTATTAACATCTGGGTCCGGCTCTCCATGTGCAGGGAGTAAGTGAGGACTCTTTCTTCAGTTTGGAACGTGCTGGAGAAGCACATACTGTCTGAGCGAGAGTCTGAAATGTGGGTCTTTGTAATTCATTGAATAACTGTGGAAGAGGTGAGGTACAGTGAACCCTCGCTACTTCGCGGTTCGACTATCGCGGATTCACGACTTCGCGGACTTTTTTCATTACATTATGTATATACGTGAATCCGCGATGGTCGAACCGCGAAGTAGCGGTTACCAAAACTTTAAAAAGCCTCCGGGGAAGCCGGCGGGGGGGCATCCCAGGCGCGCCTGGGCTGCTCCCCCGCCGGAGCCCCTCCGCGGCTTTCAAAGCCTCGGGGGAAGCCGGCGGGGGGGGCATCCCAGGCGCGCCTGGGCTGCTCCCCGCCGGAGCCCCTCCGTGGCTTTCAAAGCCTACTTCGCGGATTTTCACCTATCGCGGTAGGGTTTGGAACCTATCTACCGCGATAAACGAGGGTTCACTGTATATGTACAGTATTATGGGGGCTAATTTGGCTATGACAAATCAGGAAAGAGATCTTGGAGTTATAGTGGATAGTTCTCTGAAAACTTCCACACAGTGTGCAGCGGCGGTCAAAAAGGCAAATAGGATGCTAGGAATTATTAAGAAAGGGATAGAAAATACTACACAGAATATCTTACTGCCCCTGTATAAAACTATGGTATGCCCACATCTTGAATACTGTGTACAGATGTGGTCTCCTCACCTCAAAAAAGATATTTTGGCCTTGGAAAGGGTTCAGAAAAGGGCAACTAAAATTATTAGGGGTTTGGAACTGTATGATTAATAATAGAAAATCTATTATATCTGATACAGCAATATTGAACATTATGTCAGTTGATCAGAAACTGGAATCTGCAGAGGGTACCGTATATTCCGGCATACAAGACGACTTTTGATGTTAAAAAACATCCCCCAAAAATCGGGGGTCGTCTTGTACGCCGGGCATACATCCCAGGCGTGCCTGGGATGCCCCCCCCGCCGGCTTCCCCCGAGGCTTTGAGGATCCTACTTCTACTTCGCGGATTTTCATCTATCGCGGTAGGGTTTGGAACCTATCTACCGCGATAAACGAGGGTTCACTGTAGTTTGAAAACTGGTTTGAATTCAGGAAAACATCTTTTTAAGCGAAACTGGGCTTGGCCCCACTAAAAACAATACAGCACTGACTCTCTCTGAGTAATAAATAATTTAGAGACTTAACAAAAAGCTTCTCCACAATATATTCTGTCACTCAGTGATCTCATTATTGTGGTTGCCTGTTTTGTGCTGTCAACTCAAAAATGGACTTCTTTCCCCATCTTTTCAGTCTCACATCTTCAACTCTGGTATCTCTTCCAGGACCTTTTTCATCAGGTTAAAATCATGATCAAGAGGAAGCAAACCTGAACTTCCCATCTTTTTCCTTAATTCTTCTCCGATCCCTCCTTTCACAATTAAGGATTTAACTGTCTTACCTATTACCCAGATTTAGTAATGTAATACAGGCAGTCCCCGGGTTACGTACAAGATAGGGACTGTAGGTTTGTTCTTAAGTTGAATCTGTATGTAAGTCGGAACTGGCGTCCAGATTCAGCTGCTGTTGAAACGGATCAGCGGCTGATTCCAGGAAGCCTGGGGCAGAGCAACTCTGCCTCGGGCTTCCTGTAGTCAGCCACTGGTCAGTTTCAGCAG